TAGAGTTCTCTGCACGCGCTTCCCACCTGGAGGTCTCTGCACGCTCTCCCCACCTGGAGGTCTCTGCACGCTCACCCCACCTGGAGGTCTCCGCACGTGCGGTTCTCTTTGCCTGGGATGCTCTTCCCCAAGATCCTTGCTCAGCTGGCTCCTTCTCAGCCTCCAGTTTTCATGTCATGGCCTCCTACAAGTCTGCCTGTGCTATGGAAAACTCATTCTTTGACGGCATCGTACTGATTTCTTTTACAATGAAAACTAATCACAGGTCAGGCGGTGGTACAGCTGCACCCGCATGGGGAAGGTCCTGGGTTCAAAAAGGTCCTGGGTTCTCATCCTGGGGCCACCCTATGCGATTGTGACCTGGGTCAGCTGGGCCTGGGAGTGGATTGATTCATGAGGACCACAGCGGGGCTGCCTATCTCTCTGTCTCTCTCTCAGGAGAAGTAAATACACTTTAAAAAACTTTACAAAGAAAAAAATCATCGCAGGTGGTTTGAGGGCAGTTTGCTTACTTAGACACTCTCTTCTCTGTCACTGGAGTGGGAGTTCCCCAAGGCAAGGGGCCAGTGTGTGCTGGAGCCTGCTCACAAGAGCCTACTGCAATCTTCCCACTAAGTGACGGCGTGCTGATAGCCTGAAATTGACCACGATGGGAGGATTTACACCACGGTAATTGGCAGATGCTGAAAACAACAACTCTCTTCATCCCATCCCCAGGGCACAATCTGTTGTTAAATGTTTACCAGCGCTCCCCGGAAGGGCTGGCATCTGTGTGTCTCTCTGTCATTGTCATCACCTAGAACAATGCCTGCCACCGCTATGTCCATGTGCTCAGAAAGAAGAGAAAAATAGAAGGGCTGGACCTCACAGACACTCATCTGCCCTCAAGGGGCTGAAGGGAGTAAGACACTCAGCCTCAGGGAGGAGAGGGACTTAGAACACTGGACTCGGCTCTAGTTCTAATCCCAGCATGGCTTCTAACTTGTTTTGCAATCTTGGACCAGTTTTCTCCCCTCTTCCTGGCTTTGGTTTCCTTATCTGTAAAAGGCACCTATGGACTAGATGCCTTACCTTTCTGTGCAGGATTTTTTATTTTTTATTTTTTGCTAGAGGTGTGTGTGCTCACTGAAGTGAGACAGAGGGAGAAAAAGAGAGAAGGAATTCCCCACGGGGCATGGCCATACCTCAACCCTTTTCCTCCGTCTCTCCCTTCTTTAGAGATTTTGGGCACACATGCACATGTGCCTGGTATGTTTCTCAAGCCGCTGGGTGCAGGACTTGCACTGTGCGGTTGGCCATGTGGGATCCAGCTACCTTAACCACCATACCACAGGCCGGCCCCTGTGCTGGGTTTAAAGAAGCCCGTCTGAGCACACTTTTACCACCCTACCCCTCCACTCCCAAGTCTGCACTACGCAGCTCACACGGCGGTTGGTGCGGGTTACGCAGTGCACAGCCTGGAGAGCTGTACGTGGCAGCCCTGCCCACTCCGGCCCTGGCCACAAGATGTTTCAAAGGGAGCTGAAATGGACAAGGCACCCTCCCTTTCCTGACACACTAACCAACTCAAAGAGCTCAGGCAGTTTGGTTTTGGTTTTCCAGCTCCTAAGCTTGTCCCCGTTGTCGTGGGTGTGTGGATCAAGAGCCCTGTACACCCTGGCGCGGCCCCAGCCCAGGGAGTGTGCGGACAGGGCAGGAGCGGGGCAAGGCCAGGGTGTGCAATTTGCGGTAAGGCTTTCCCTCGGAGGAGCGGAAGCAGAGCAAGGAGGACCCGGACAACTGCTGGTCTGGTCCAGTCTGCCCTGCTCTTGAATACAAACTAAAAAAGGAACTGCGGCCCGGCCCTCCTCCGCCTGCAGCGCCCGCCCTGGTGTGGATACACCCACACTCCTCTCCAAAGTGCTCTGGTCACACAGCTCAACACGAACCCACCAGATGCCACTGGCTGCTTGGTGGGGATGAGGATGCTGGACGGCGGGACCGTTGTGGTTCCCTGGGGGCTGTGCAGATGTCCTTTCAGCTTCAATTCTGCGTCGCTGCAACTCTCTAAAACGCCCACCGCCACCTGAGGAAAGCTGAGGGTTCGCGACTCTGTCTGCCTTCACTAGAAAACAAAAAACTGCCGTGTGTGGTGGTAAGCTCCCGGTCACTGGAGGGATGCAAGCCCAGGTGGCCCCTCGTCTGGGATGTTCAGGCTGTCAGGGCCCTCGGTGCCTAGGAGGGAGAACCACACCCTGCCTCTGTGTCCTGGAGGGAGCTGTTTAGCACTGGAGCCCTGTTGTCAAGGTCTTTCTCGCGGAGCGTTGGCGTCACAGCCAGGGCTGAGGTTCCGGCCCAGGAAGTGCTCACGGACGTGCATGCCCTCCCCACGGGGCTTTGGGAGACTGAGGAGCAGAGGCTCAGTCCAGACATGATTGGGTGGACGGCTAGAAAGGGGGTGTGACTCTCTGAAGTGTCAGTATCAGGGCCTGAACTTGGCGCAGGGGTTCACATCCGCACCGCAGGGCTTGTTCTTTGGGTTTGTGAGAGACTGCTCTGGCCCAGGCCCTGGTCTCCACACCTGCACATTGGGGTGGGCCCGGATTGGGCAGGGTGGGCTACATTAGGGCTGGCCTTTGTGCGGGGCGGGGCGAGGAGGGCTAACGCCCACCAGCTGTGAACTCCTGGGTAGGAGTTAGTGTGCGGCAGCTTTTCTGCCCAGAATGCTGGAGATCCCGGTCCGAAGAAGAGGGGGCACTGGCTGGCAGACCACCTGCGGCAGTGTCGAGGCCCTGAGAGGGTGTGCTGGAGGGAGGGCAAGATGGCGCGGCGCTGCACAGAGGGAGAGAAAGTCGGAGGGAAGGACGTGAGCAGTGCTCTCTGCTCGAGGACCCAGAGAGCCCCGCAAAGAGCAGGGGTGCTGCTGCTAAGATGCTATAAAGAAGACCATGGAAATATGACCATTGCATTGGAAGTAGTCCAGGCTTCCTGGAAGAGGAGGCCTTTTTGGAGCTGCCAGAGAAAAGCAGCAAATTACTCTCCACTTCAGCCTATATCCGCCGAAGACTTTTTTTTTTTTAAAGAGAGATTTTTGCTATAGGGCGTGTGTGCTTGCTGGAGAGACAGAGAGACAGAACGTGAGAAATGATTCCTCATGGTGGGGCTGGCCACACTGCAATCCCTTTTCCTCAATTCTCCTCTCGGGATTTTGGGCATGCACACACGTGTGCCCAGAGGCTACTGGGTCAGGGGCTTGAACCACAGTTGACCATGTGGGCGTCCAGCACCTTAACCACCACACCACCTACTGGACCCCTGAAGCCATTTATTGAGAAGGAGGTTGGAGGTTCCCTCTTCTTTTATGGGATGACAGACTGGTTTGGACCCCCCTCTGGCTCCCCATAAAAACCCCATCTCCCTTAGGGAGTGGGCCTCCTCAGCAGCGGGGCCCAGTCCAGCGAGGCTGCTGCCAACCACACAGCGCAGCCAGAGACAGCAAGGGGCTGGCCCCAGGCGCTGGGCAGAGGGGATGTGGCCACGCCTGCTGTGCACACCTGCCAGCTTCTTAGGACTCTCGCTGCTGAGTGCCAGGGCACCATGGCCCTCCACAGGGCCCCGGGCCAACTGCAGAGAGAGTCGGGCAGCTGTGAAACCACGGCCCAGAGTGGAGTCTGAGTCTGTCTCATAAAAAGTCCCTGGGTCCAACCCGACCTCCCGCTGACTTTAGTTCCTGGTCAGTGTGGACTGGGGGGACTGGGGAACCCTGTGTCCTCATGACCCAGTGGTGAGAACAATTTAGATGAGACAAGAGTGAATATGGGTATTTTGAAATTACAAGCAAATCAAACTTAAATTTCACAATTACTACTTAGGATGAGACTAAGTAAAAAGATCCAGTTGATTTAAAGTTACTTTAAAGAAAATTGTTAGGGTCCAGAGGGTGTCATGGTGATTAAGGTGCTGGATCCACAGTTCAAATCCCAGGCATGGTGGCTGGTAAAACACAATGAATAAATAAATATTTTTTTTTTTAATGACTGCCAGGCTGCAGGCTCCAATCCCAGTGTGACTTACCACCTGGTGGGGCTGGGCTAACTAAGTACCATCTAGGTCTGTGCGCTGTGCCATGGGCGTTACTGAGCACCTCGGCCTTGCCAGACGTTTTGTTTGCTGCTGGGATTGTTTCCGAGTTTCTGTATAATCCTACAAGGTAGGCATTATAACTGCCACACAGCCAGGGAGGGACAGGAACTGGCCTGACGTCACACTCTTCCTCTGGAACACGCTCCCGGCGTGGACCCCGACTCAGTTCCCCCCGTGCAATGGATTTCACGCCGCCTCTCAAGCCGCAGGGCAGAG